AGCTTATAAAAACCACAAGGCTGGAAGTTGAAGGGAAATATCATGTTGAGTTTCTTAGAAAATTACAGGAGAGTAAAATACTATTATAATATGAATATTTTATTGACATCAATATGCTTGCTTTTGTGACAAGTAACGTTTATTGGCATGGCCTCAATTCCTGCCAGCAAATTTCAAGCAAACATATAATTTACTCAGAATCTGGACCAACAGCACCTAAGATAGAAGCAAACAACTTTGTATCTATTAGACATACATTATATGAAATCACAGAAACTACACATTTTCCACTGTTTTGGGTAATTCTTTTAGCGAATTCACATCTTTCAGGTAATTTAGAAAATTCTGTATTTTTTCATAGAAATTTCACAGGTTTAGAAGTTGAGAGACTTAGAATCTTGTGTCCGATCTGCTGCTATTTGAGTAAGTCACTTTACCTCCTTTGGCCTGCCTCAATCTTCTACAAACTGGAAATAATAAATTTATTCTTAGTTTCCTAAACTAGCTGTTCATCAGCATTGCCATATTTAAGGAATTTCTTAAGAATCCTGATTCTCAAACTATAATCAGTTTTGGGTAAGTCCTAGAGATCTACCTTTTTTAAAATAAATAAATAAATAAAAATAAAATTTAAAAAACCTCCCCAGGTGGGGATCCATAAACAGATTTGTAAGTGAATAAGCTACATAATATCAAAGGTACTTTTTAGCTCTGTCATTCAGAAAATATATACTTGTTGATGAAGGTTACAATTCAAAGCACACTCGTTTTAGAATTGTAAAAGACTCCGGTTGCATTCTTATATACCAACAACAGTCAAGCTGAGATCCAAATCATGAACAAACTCCCACTCACAATTACCACAAAAAGAATAAAATACCTAGGAATACAGCTAACAGGGGAAGTGAAAGAGCTCTACAGGGAGAACTAGAAACCACTACGCAAAAAATTCAGAGATGACACAAACAAATGGAAAAACATTGTATGCTCATGGATGGGAAGAATCAATATCATGAAAGTGGCCACGCTGCCCAAAGCAATTTATAGATTCAATGTTATTCCCATTAAACTACCACTGACATTCTTCGGAGAACTACAAAAATCTATTTTAAAATTCATATGGAGCCAAATGAGCCTGAATAGCCAGGGCAGTCTAAAGTCAAGGTAGTCTTAAGCAAAAAGAACAAAGCCATTGGGAGCCCTAGGTGTTAGGCTCAAATGTCAGTTTTCTAGGAGCTGCTGCAAGGGTGGAATGGTCCATCTATCTCAGAACTTGGTGGACAGCTTTATAGTTTTTTGATACCTTTTCTTTTTTTTTTTTTTTTGAGACGGAGTCTCGCTCTGTCGCCCAGGCTGGAGTGCTGTGGCCAGATCTCAGCTCACTGCAAGCTCCGCCTCCCGGGTTCACGCCATTCTCCTGCCTCAGCCTCCGAGTAGCTGGGATTACAGGCGCCCGCCACCTCGACCGGCTAGTTTTTTGTATTTTTTAGTAAAGACGGGGTTTCACCGTGTTAGCCAGGATGGTCTCGATCTCCTGACCTTGTGATCCACCCGTCTCGGCCTCCCAAAGTGCTGGGATTACAGGCTTGAGCCACCGCGCCCGGCTATACCTTTTCAAGATAGATACTTGAGTTACATTCCTGGGGCTTTTCTCTTGCAGGCATGATGGGCCTACCTCCTGGTGTGAGGCCTCCTATGGGTCCCCCAGTGGGGATTTCCCCTAGAAGACAGACTCCAAAGGGCATATCCCTTCTGGGAATGCAGCCTCCTCCCCCTGGGATGCGAGGCTTTCTTTGAACCTTGGCCATAGAGTATGGAAGTAGCTCCGCAGAGATGTGGGCTCAATTCCTCAGGGCCACATTACCACAGACCTATTTGTTTGTTATGCTGCTGTTCACGAAGTCTCTCTAGATTGTCTGGTTTTCCTTACAGAGCCCCCTCCCCAGAGAATGTGCCCATCAAGGCCCTAGACTCATCTTGGCCCTCCTAGCTTCCTGCCTATTTCCTGTAAGGCTCTACATAGTCCTTTTATTTCCCTGTGGCCTATGAAACTGGTTTATAATAAACTCTTAGGAGAATATTTAAAAAAAAGTGATGAAGGCATCATACTACCCATCCTCAAACTGTACTACAGGGACTACAGTAACCAAAACAGCATGGTACTGATACAAGAACAGATACATAGAGCAATGGAATATAATAGAGAGCCCAGAAATAAGACCACTTACCTAGAACTATCTGATCTTTGACAAAAATGACAAAAATGCAATAAGGAAAAGCATACACTGTTTAATAAATGGTGCTAGGATAACTGGCTAGCTATATGCAGAAAATTGAAACTGGACCCCTTCCTTACAAAATATCCAAAAATTAACTCATGATGGATTAAAGACTTATACAAAAAACCTCAAACTGTAAAAACCCTGGAAGATAATCTAGGCAATTACCATTCAGGACACAAGCATTGGCAAAGATTTCATGACAAACACCAAAAGCAATTGCAACAAAAGCAAAAATTGACAAATGGGATCTAAATAAACTAAAGAGCTTCTGCACAGCAAAAGAAACCATCGACAGAGTAAACAGACAACCTACAGACTGGGCAAAAATTTTTGTAAAGTATACATCTGACAGAGGGCTAATATCTAGCATCTATAAATAACTTAAATTGACGAGAAAAAAACAAACAATGCCATTAAAAAGTGGGCAAATGACATGAACAGACACTTCTCAAAAGAAGACATACATGCGACCAACAATCATGTGAAAAAAAGCTCAACATCACTGATCATTAGAGAAATGCAAATCAAAACCACAATGAGATACCACCTCACACCAAGCAGGATGGCTATTATTAAAAAGTCAAAAAATAATATGCTGGCAAGGTTGTGGAGAAAAAGGAATGCATATACACTGTCGGTGGGAGTGCAAATTATTTCAACCATTGTAGAAGACAATGTGGCAATTTCTCAAAGACCTAAAGACAGAACTACCATTTGACTCAGGAATCCCATTACTGGGTATATACCCAAAAGAATATAAATCATTCTATTATGAAAACACATGTATATTCATTGCAGCACTATTCACAATAGCAAAGATATGGAATAAACCCAAATGCCCACCAATGATAGAATGAATAAAGAAAATGTGATACATATACACCATGGAATACTATGCAGCCATGAAAAAGAATGAGAGCATGTCCTTTGCAGGGACATGGGTGGAGCTGGAGGCCGTTATTCTTAGCAAACTAATGCAGGAACAGAAAACCAAATACCGCATGTTCTCACTCATAAGTGGGAACTACATGATGAGAACACACAGACCCATAGAGGGAAACAACACACACTAGAGCCTTTTGGAGGGTGGAGGGTGGGAAGAGAGAACGGATCAGGAAAATTAACTAAATGGGTACTAGTTACCTGAAGAAATAATCTGTACAACAAACCCCCATGACACACATTTACCTGTGTAACATTTTGCACAAGTACCCTCTAACCTAAAAGTTAAAAAAAATACTCTCGTTGAGGGCCAGGTGTGGTGGCTTATGCTTGTAATTCCAGCACTTTGGGAGGCCACAGCAGGCTGATCACTTGAGGTCAGGAGATCGAGACCAGCCTGGTCAACATGGTGAAACCAAGTCTCTACTAAAAATACAAAAAAGAAAAAAAAAATTAGCCAGGTATGGTAGCACATGCCTGTAGTCCCAGCTATTCAGGAGGCTGAGGCAGGAGAATCACTTGAACCTGGGAGGCAGAGGCAGCAGTGAGCCAAGATCCAAGATCACACTACTGCACTCCAGCCTAAGTGACAGAGCAAGACTTTGTCTCAAAAAACAAAACAAAACAAAACTCTGGTTGCAATTAAATTAACTTTAACCTTAAATTAATCTTAATATTGAAACTATGCAAAACAATGTCTTAAAAATATAAGGATTTTCTATGAAAATGTTCAGGATCATTATTATGAACACAAACATCACGATAGGTACACACATAGGCCAACGCAGATATGCTCGTGACACGAAATATTTAATCCACATGTGAACTAAAGAAATTAAATCATGTTTCACATACTACTTATGGGACAGTCTCATTTTACAAGGAAAAATTTTATTTTAATGAGACATTATAATTTTTTTTTTTTTTTTTTGAGAGACAAGGTCTCACTGTTGCTCATGCTGGAGTACAGTGGAGTGATCCTAGCTCACTGCAGCCTCAACTTCTCAGGCTTAAGTGATCCTCCCACCTCAGACTCCTGAGTAGCTAGGGCTATAAATGCAAACCACCAGGGCCAGCTAATTCTTTTTATTTTTTGTGAATTGGGGTCTGGCTACATTGCCCAGACTGGTGTCAAACTCCCAGGCTCAAGCGAGGCTCTCACCTCATCCTCCCAAAGTGCTGGGATTATAGGCCTGAACCACTGTGCCCAACCTAAGATGTAAGATAAGTAATGACCATGTGACCATGTAGTTTTTATTAAAGTGTCATTCCCATGTCTCCTGGTTCCCCTTTACCCAAACCCATACAAATTAACCACAAAACCTGTCTTCAGGTTTTTAAGCTGATTGATTTTCTGTGTGGAGTTACCTGCCACAACCTGATAAAATATTGGAAATTATTTAAGAAAGTAATTTGAGAATAACTAATAATAAACCCTTCTCACTGATGGCACTGACAGTAATTAGGCCACTGAGCCAACTGTGTCTTGAGACTAGTCCTAGTTGCATTATCAAGAGCAACTTTCTATTCACAACAGCCACGAAATATTCATTGAATTCTTCTAAAAGCAGCGTCATATCATTCACATATATTTTATAGGAAAGTTAAAAAATAACTTTCACTTCGTCAAAATAATTACCAATCTGCCAGGCTCGTGCCTGCCAACTCTGGTTCTTATTGGATTTTTAGATGTGACTCATGTATCCATAACTGTGAGTCCACATTAATGTTCTGCCAGAGCCTGGCATCAGCCTCTGCATAGACAATCACAAGCCAATAGACAGGGAATGGAAACAGCACTCTATTGATCTTGGCTTATTTATTCATAAACTAGGAAAGCAGTGGAACAGCTATGCTGGAAGCCTACTTTCTCTTCATGTAACACATTGGCCTAAGAGATCTATAGAGCTTTTTAAAAACAAAGAAGGCAGCAAGATTTAAAATAATAAAAGCAGTAAGTCTTACTTTTGTAATTTCCCTTGCTGATTTTCTTACAGTCCTCCCTAAAATGTTAATTCTATATTTTATAACATTTAGTTACAATTTTATTTATACTTGGTTCCTTTCGGAGTATTGTGTAAAGAGAATGGGAATTGTCTGAAACCAAAATTTATCAGAGAAGTGGCATCTTCAGAGTCTATCATGTTGGTGGTGGCAGTGTGACTGTGTGAGAAACCCTCAAGGGAAGGTGAAACTGAAGGAAAAGTGTCATATTTGGATGCTTTTCAGGAGATTCTCAATGCAGTGCTAAAACCTTGAAAATGCTGGTTTGCTTTCTTTTAAAAAGAAAAAAATATTTATTTAGGCAATAGGTATTTTTAAAAGTGAGAGAAACTATTAGAGAGCTGTAGCAGAAAAGCAAGTTAAAAATAAAGGAAACAGAAAAGGAACTGATATAGCTGATTTGATACTAGAAAGATCACCCAGGAGGCAGCGTGGAGAATGGATTGGAGATGGATGAAAATTCAGCCAGAGGCTTTGTGACTAAGTTACATTTGCATGAAGTCAATGATAGTGGGGGTGGAAAGGATGGATTGGATTAGAGGGATTTTAAGGGGGTATCAGTCATTGCTACCTGGGGCAGGAGGAGGAGGAACAGGAGGAGGAAATTTTGGTGAGATGACCAGTTCATGTTAAAGCAAAGTTTGAATTGCCTACGGCAAATCCGTGTGAAAATATTTACTTAATGGGCAATTGTAGATGTGCTCAGATATCTCTGTCTCATATATACATAAGACAGATTGTGGTGTCATTAACGTAGGTAAATGGAGTGATTGACATATTTACCAAGAAAAAGATAAACTGTAAATGGTCTGCTAGAATTGACAATAGTAAATGTTGACAACAATAATTGGAGACCTTGGCAAATGATACAGCAATCTGATGCTTAGAGGAAAAATTGAATATCAGAGTTGAAGAGTAAATTATAACTAAGGAATTGGAGACAACAAATTGAAGCCAAGTTTTTAGAAAATTTGTTGGAAAAAGGAGAGTGACAGAAAAGTAGGATCAACAGCGATTTGATTCAGAAACCTTACAAACATTTATAGACTGAAGGGAAAATCATAGAGAAGCTATGTTTGAAGAGAGAAGAGAAAAAGAATAAAATATCAGGTGATATTGGAGATAAAAAAGAAATGGCATTCAAGCTCAGAAGCATACATGAAGCTTAGGCAGGAGGGTAGATGCCCCCCTGAGTGTGGGAGAGCTGAAAGACAAGAATGGAAAGGGATGCCAGGAAGTGATTTTGGAGATGAGAAGAGGGGCAGAAAGTCAATGCTATTACACAAAGATCAAGATTTGTAAAAATAAATTTTTAACTTGTATTATTGAAATGATACATATTTATAGTAAAAATATTTTAATACAGAACATTTTAAAAGAAAAATACAACATTCTTGATATAAATAGAATTGCCCCTTGCCCTTGCCTCCTCTTGCAAGTGGGCCCACATTGGAATGTTTTATAATCTTTCATGCACTGGGAAAGTCACAAATATCACTAATATGCTTTAGGTTTCAGCTCAGTCATTTCTAACTTCCTTTTATCCTGAACTGTTTATGCTAACTCCCCAATGTTTGTCAAATAGTCATCATCCACATCACCGAATTTTTTCATATTTTCCAAACATTTCCTCTAAATATTTTCTTTCACAGACTTGAGTTACATTGAAAGCAAGAGCCACATTCCACTCATCTTCAGAATTCCACAACACAAATTCAGAGCTTTAGACATTGTAGACCAGCACCGTAAAACAGAACCTTTTGTGATGATGGAAATGCTTCTCTATGCTATCCAGTACAGCAGCTACTAGCTACTGTGGTTATCACCCATTTGAAAGGTGAAACTCAAGAACTGGACTCTTAATTAAAATTAAAATGTGGACTGGACCTACTGTATTGAACAGTGTAGTTGTACATAATTAGTATAGTGGTTCAAAGAATTATTTTTTAGTTGGCTTTTTGGATGGTTGTATTTTTATTCCTTTTTAAAGTATGTATTTGTTTTTCAAGGTTTATTGTAAATTAGAAGGAGCAAATTGGAGGAGAAATGACAAAAGAAACAGAAAAATGTTAAATCAGACAAAGGAATTAAAAAAAACTCAGTCTTATTTAGAAGATGGTCAAACAAATCTCTTAACTGATGTTCGCAATGATGGTTTCAAGTTATCTAAGGAATGGGTGAGTACCAGGAAATTTGTGTAATTTCAATCAAATTTAATTTTTACAGTAATGCCAAGAAACATATCATTGTCCCTATATCACAGACTAAAACAAACAAAAAAACAAAAACAAATAAAACCCTTGAGATTCAGAACTATTTTAACAACTTTCCCAAAAGCTGCTAAAAGGTAAAACTGGAATCCTGACCCACCAACGCCAAAGCCTATTTTTGCTCTCAGTATGATGCTCGAATTATATTCATCACACCATACTCTAAACACACACACACCCTCACACACAATGTTTTAGAACAAACTTCTATAAAATATTTAAAATATAAGCAAATCCTTCTAGTGAGTAAAGGGATAAATTCTTAACTCATTAGAAAATATTTATCTTCCAAGTGACTTATGGCCTAATGATTCTGGATAGACAAGATACCATTTTTATTTTCATAAGTCAATGCAGCTATCGTAAATTTTAAAACCCTAAAAATGTTCTTATATGGCATGCATTACATTGTTTAAATATATTATTTCCCCAAATAAATTTGCTACATTTTCTTTTCTAGGAGAAAATGAAATCGGTGAATTGCAAAGATATTAAGAAAATTTTTTCATTACCTCCAAAGAATAAAATTATAAAACTTATTCTTACCTTTTTGTTTCCTGTAAATGTGTGGTATATTCCCCTTGTCCCTCGTGACAAACTTCTCTATGATTTCTTCAATGATTAAGGTCCCAAATGATACATTAAAAATATATACATTTGTTTTATATTTTCAAAGTATTCTTAATCTTCAATTAAGAACTACACTGAAACTCTGTTGACAATGCCAATATGAAGACTGAAAGAGATGTGATGGTTTTAAGACTGGTGCCTATGGTCAAAAGAATATACTTACTGCTTCCAAATGTCTATAAATAAATTATGGTTTCTTAAAGGCCCATGAAATGAAACTTTATTTGTTGTCATTAGTTATCTAATTTCTTAATTTCTTTGTTAGGAATGGAATCCATTTAATGATTTAAGTATTTTTCAAACATCTTACAACATATTTTTATACTAGAATTCTTATTTGCTTTCAAATGCCTTTCTCATTCTTTTTACTTTCATTTCATGTTTTCCTTCAGAATTATAATTGTGCATTCTATTCTGGATGAAATACTCATATTTCTCTAAAATATGTCTGGTAAACAAAACCATGTAAGAGTGTACATAAGAGGGAACCTCAGATCTCTTTCATCTGTGATTTTTAAAGTTATCCTTGGCTTTACTAAACCATGGGTTGCTATGGCTGTTGTCATCGCGGTTAAATATAGACTCTAATTTAGATAATCATAGGATAAAACCCAAAGTGACGTACTGTTTCAAATAAAACACTGATACCCCTTCATATACACAATGGTGGGAGAGACATACTGTATTTAACATTCAACCAGTTGTCTGGGTATTGAACTCTGTTATTTCGGTAGTTAGTATAAACATAACCAGAGAGAAGCAAATCAGAAGGAAAACAACAAAAATTTCTGCATTTTTATGTTTCCTGAAGCAAAAAGACCTTATTAGGAAAAAACAAAACACTTCCACTAAATGCACCAGCATATTCAGGAACGTGTTTTGTGGCATCTATGTGAGAGAATCACGTTGTTGGATTTACCATCTTTTATCCCAGCCCAACAAGTTTGATTCAGTTCACATTTATTGAATGTTGTCTTTAGATAAAAGGTGTGTGTAAATGATTCATTAGAATAAGGTGTTGTATACACTGCTATAGGCCTCATTCTTTCTTCAGTGATAATTAAAAAAAACACAGTGAGAGAATCCAAAACCCCATGGTCTTAAAGCAATCTTTTTCAGATGGAAAAACCTCTAGGTGACTGCCCACACCACCTGGTAACTCCATACTGACAGACAACACAATAATTAGGAGTAAACAACTCATATAAAACTACAGTTTACGTAGGCTTTATCTTTGCAATTATATTAGGCAGCATTTTTACAGTAGGTGTTAACTAAAAGACTGGAAAAGTAAGGTGTTGTGTATAATCCCAAATAACTGACTAAAGGCAAAATCTAACCTTTATCTTTTCACAAAACAGCTTTCTGGCCCACTAGGTATTGAGCCTCTAGGTAATCTTAAACTGAGTCATTACCATCTCCTATTCACCATGTGCTCTTAATTAAGCCTGAGGAATACACAAGTGTGAATTCAAAGCAACTCAACTGACGGTATTCGGTACCCAACTATAGACTGTAGGTGCACTAAAATATAAACGAATAGTGGGTGGTGTATGACCCCTGTGCAGAACCCCCTTACCTGCTTGTGCATTTCTCTTCCAGCTGCTTTGAGATTTGACTGTTAGCGTCCAGCAGCTAGCCCCCTCTTCCTTGAAAGGCTGCCCTTTAATGAATATTGACTGGCACAGGGGTACCGAAGACTGCCTCCTTGCTTTTGGATGGACTAATCCCATGATGGACTAACCCCGTGATGGACTAACCCCGTGGTGCAACTTGTGCTCCTAAGTGTCTCCATGCAATCAGAGTTAAGAGCGTCTCCAGCTGAGACTACACTCTCGATCAGCATTTTTTCTTCGCCCTTTCCTGTTTTTCTCACCTCTGTTGATCTGAGATCACGTTCCAAATAAATCACGTTTACTAAATCGTATTTTCTATGTATTTGAGTCAGTTTCCTTATCTTTAAAATGGAAATAATATCCCGTACTCCAGTGTATAGTGGCAGTGTCTTATTTAGAAAATGGAAGAGTTGAAAAAATGTTATTTCTCTTGTCCACTCCTTAGCTCTGAGCTTTCTAACAGAAAAAAGGAAAACATTTCTAAACAAATCTACCAATGACTCAGAATTCTTTTTCCTTTCCTTTTTTGTTCCCAGATTGAAATCAAGGAAGAGGTTTTTTTTTTTTTTTTTTTTTTAATGTGAATTAATCTTGATAACGTAGTTACTAGTGTTTTAAACAGTTTTACTCAAGACACTTTTGCTTTGAATTGGAGCATTCCATGGCTGTCATTTGTGTTTAGACTGAACAATCTACAGACAGGTACCATGTCTGTTGGAATCACCTTTACATCCTTAGTGTCCTTTTCAGTACCTGGGATAGAGTCAGCATAATATGTGTGACTCAATGGTAGTTCCACTCAAAGCATCAGAACCATTTGAGAGTGGCCAGGCACAGTGGCTCACACCTGTAATCCTAGCACATTGGGAGGCCGAGACAGGAGGATCACCTGAGGTCAGGAGTTTAAGACCAGCCTGGCCAACATGATGAAACCCTGTCTGTATTAAAATACAAAAATTAGCCAGGCATGGTGACTGGCGCCTGTAATCCCAGCTACTGGGGAGGCTGAGGTATGACAATTACTTGAATCTGGGAAGCAGAGGATGCAGTGAGCTGAGGTCACACCATTGCACTCCAGTCTGGGGTAACACAGTGAGACTCCATCTCCAAAAAAAAAAAAAAAAGAACCATATGGGAGTGGCACTGTGGGCTCTGAAATCCGACAGAAACATAAGTCTCCTCTCCATCTCTTAGCAGCTATGTAAATTTGTGCTTACTTTCTTCAAACTTCACTTTCCTAATCTTTAAAATTGATGTAATAGTATTCATCTCATAGACTATATGGGAATCTAATGAAATAATGTACTTAGCATAGTAAATACTAGATAAATATCAGCTATTGCACTGAAATAGTATTACTATAATCTGAAATTTATACTCCCTATATAAATAGTTGATCATCAGAAGATAGTTCTCAGTGTTACATAGAAAAAATTTTTATAAGAATTACCAAAGTACAATCTATAGCAAATTAATGGTAAGTAAAAGGATAGCCTAAAACCAGGATTTATACCATATTGTCTGATTATCAAAAAGACATAATAAGATTCAATAACAAGAAAAGAACCAATTTCTAAGCAGAGGAGTTTATTGAAGGACAGATTAAAATTTGACCAATACAGAAATAAATGTCAGTTTTAGTCATCATTCTGTGTACAATTGTTCAACTGAACTAGTAACATTTTCTCGGTGGAAATTTACCTCATGCTTTTAATGACAATTTCTTTCTCTCTCTCCCTGTTTGTTTGTTTTTTTTTTTTTTCCTTTGAGACTGGGTTTCCCTCTTGTCGCCCAGGCCAGAGTGCAATGGCCCAATCTCAGCTAATTACAACCTCCGCTTCCCGAGTTCAAGCGATTCTCCAGCCTCAGCCTCCTGAATAGCTGGGATTACAGGCGTGAGCAACCACAGTCGGCTAATTTTTGAATTTTTAGTAGAGAGGGGGTTTCACCACATTGGCCAGGCTGGACTCAAACTCCAGACCTCAGGTGATCCACCTGCCTTGGCCTCCCAAAGTGCAGGTATTACAGGCACAAGCCACCGTGCCTGGCCTTCTTTTCTTTCTCTTTTTTTTTTTTTTTTTTTT